ATGGTACTGCTCCCTTCTGAGGGTCCTTCAGGATCAGGACTGTCTGGCCTTCAGTTAACCACTCAGGGTGGGTTCCATCTATTAGTAGCTGGTTCATTTGTCCTGCCAGGGGCTCATGGAGTGAAGTTAGCTTCTTTAACCAGTAGGCGTGGATCATGTCAGGGCCTGGTGCTGTCCAGCTCTTCATACTTGAGACCCGCTCTGGCATGTCTGCCATTGTGATGATTACTGGGTCTTGTGCAGGGAGGTTGCTGTGGTCTGCTCTCAGGTCCACTACCCACTGGACATTGTTGTTATGTGATGCCTCCTTCTCCCATTTGCTCTTCCACAACTGTTCAGTCTCCAGCTTTGGTGGGTCTGCTCGCATGTTCTTACCCTGCCACTGAAAGTACACCTTGGATGGCTCAGTGGAGAACATTCGGTTTATTCTCCTGGCTTCAACTTCTCTGGTGTACCTCTTCAGCCGGGGGGCCAGGGCTGTGAGCCTTTGCTTGGCAGTCTATAAGGCCTCAGGTATGGACAGTGAGTTGTATTCCTTAGGCACCCATTTTTTCATCATGCCTTTCTGCAATTCTGATAGCTGGCTAACTTTTCTCCATGCATTCTTGGTCTTGGTCTCCAACCTCCTTCTCCATGGAGGATACTGCTCTTTATGGCCTTTGTTGAACTTATAGCCAAGCATCTCAAGGATGATGGTTTCTGTGGTGTATATGAGCTTGTTGGTCTCAGGTCAGCAGCCCTTGAATCAAGCTCATCTGGGCCTGTTATTGGGGCTTGGTACCCAATCTCGAACTGTGATATCTCCCCCTGACCTGTCGTCCTAGCTCCCCCTTGCTCGAGCATTCATGTTGTACCTCGTCAATCTCTAGTTGCGACAGCAGGTGCTTCTTGTGGATGTTATAGCATTGAGCTATTAGTTGCTTCGATATTAGTGTAGATGTTGGGTTTCGAAGTATCCATAGGTCCCACATCCTCTGCATGTAACCCCTCTCGCTGGGGTTACTTGTATAGTAGCATTCCAAGAGCTCCTTGTTCTCCTCTCTTGTCCATGAATGTCTTGTTCCAGCAGCCCACTTCCCATCAGGTTGCCCTGGTTCCTCAACACCTGACACGGAGCTTGTTGACCCAGGCAACGTCCGAGCCGGTGTGACTCTTATTTTTCTAACTCTCATTACGGATGAGGTAGGCAAATAGCATTAAGGGCCTTGCCTAAGGACCCAGGTGGGATATTGACCATGCCCTGACCGGGGTTCGAACCCCCAACCTTCCATACCAAAGTCAGCGGTGTTACCCACTGACCCAATTACTCTATTTTATTCTTATTTTTATCTCGTTTCTTAATGCACATTCCTTTGTTTTTTTGCATTGTTTATTGCTTTGTTTATATTGTTATCTTGTTTTCAAGTCTTTGTTTTAATGGATTTCATTTAATTTATTCATTTAATGGATTCATCTATTTTTTGCTACAATATGTTTGAGACTTCTCTCAGTTCTACTAATGCTGGTATTTCTTGCTTGTTTCTTTGTAAAACACTAACTGCTGTTTTCAAAAGTGTTACATAATGTTAGGGCTGCTCAACAAACAGGGGCCTATTTCAAGAAGGCGGTTCAACAAACTCAGAGTTCAGGCCTGAACTCTGAGTTGACTTACTCAGAGTTGGAAAACTCAGAGTTTTCGGTTTCAGAACAGCTGAAAAGAGTTGGTTTAAGCAACTCTGAGTTGTCTGACTCAGAGTTAGGCGCGTGCCACGCGACTATAAAAAGCCCTGAACAATGGAGTGAAGAAATTACGAGTCACCATGGCAACAGGACCAAGCCAAAATAGGTCTGCGTTTTTCCCGACAGAAATGGATGTGCTACTACAAGCATATAGTGACTACGAGCCCATATTCCGTAAGAGAAGCAACACGGTTGCAGCGGCGAAAGAGAGAGAGTTAGCTTGGGGGAAAATAGCTGCCCGAGTCAATGCGTAAGTTTACATTTTAATCATACAGTATTCGGTGTAAGTAATTACTAAATAATGTTAGTAATGTTATTATTTGTCACTTGTAAAGTAAGGAATGGTTCTTAATTCGTCAATAATTTAATGAGTAACGTCAGTAATTGCATAAAATGCCGATTTTTGTACGAATTAAAAGTGCAGTTTTATGTCTACCCTTGCTTAAAATTCCTATTGTGGTTGATATGGGATTTGTAAGGTAATGAGTAATAGGTAATCCAATACGTCTTATGGAGAGTAATTATTACATTAATCAAAATACCTTTTTTAAAATGTACCCAAGACTGATGTAGTAATATAAGAATTGTATTTTATTTTTCATGTAGGTGCAATCCTGCAGGCATAAAAAGAACGTGGCAGCAGCTAAAAATGAAATATAAAAACATAATTCAAACAGGTAAGGCTTGATCATATCATGGGTGTAGACTACCTGACTCTACAAACATTTGACATATTAAATAACTAAATAGCCTGCAGAGTATAGCAGTGCAGCAGCATTTTCAACATGGGTGTAATGTTGTTTTCATACAATTAAATCATTTGACAACTACTCAGCCAACAGAAAGAAGGCAGAGGCCAGAAAAACTGGTGGAGGACCTGCACCACCACCACTGACACATGCAGAGGAGATGGCCCTCAGCCTGAACACTGGAAAGCCAGTGGCTGAGGGAATTCCTGGAGGGAGTTCATCAGAACCAGTCACTCCCCAGGATACAAGTGCATTCATTACATGTAAGAGGCCTACCTATATATTCTATTTTTTACATAGGCTACTTTTGATATATCCATTTATTACACTCTGGGTTGGGTTTTTTTGTTGGTCTTAACAGATTCTGATGGTAATATCTGCCTTTTGGAGCCTCCTGTCACAGCAGAACCCCAGGCTGTTGTAAGTATCCTACTAAATAAAGCTTAAATTATGATAGGTAGTATTATAAAGTGTACTCTAACCAAATGCTCGTCTTCATAGGACTATGAGGATAATGAAACTATGTCTGCCACAGAGAGGTCTACAGAGGTAATATTAATACAGTGTATACACATCAAATGATCTACACATTCGGAGTGCCAGTGTTTGTGTGAAGTAGCCTAAAGGATGTAAATCTATCTCCAAGTATACTGACATTATTATCTCCCCTCTGCCCCAGAGTGTGGAAGAACAGCAGGAGGAGGGTCCGTCAAATGCTGCTGCGCAGATGAACACAGTTCAGTGATGTTCAGTAAATGCCAGAGTTGCAATCTGTAAAATTAATGAGGAACTATGTCATGTAACTAAATCTTCTGTATTTACAGTTACCAGTTAAGGAGTTGTATAGAATACATCTTATTAAAAAAATAGAAAAAAATAACAAAGAAATGTTATACGTGGACCGCCAGATTGAAAAGACAGATCTAGAAATTGAAATTCTCAAACAAAAGCTAGAGGTGAGTGTATAGTTACAGGTGAATTGTATGAATTATTGAATGAATTGTGAAACCTAACAATTGCTTTTGTATTTGTAGGAAATGAAGAAACCCAAATAAAGTATGATTTGCATTTATTCCGTTTCTGTCTTTCATCGGTGGTGATGGTGGTGGTTGTAGATTAATCCCAGAAGACATTACGGCATATCCAATCTCTGACTGCCCTTCCATCCTGGTTATCTGCAGGGTGGATGGGGTCGTCCTCAGGGTCTTGTATTTGTAGGGCAGGGTGTTGCTCCCCTCTAATAATTGCAATATTGTGGAGAACAACACATGCCACAATAATGTCACAGGCCCTCTCAGGTGTTACCCTGAGGTGACGTAGGCAATGAAAACGTGCTTTCAACAGGCCTATGGTCATTTCCACCCGGGCTCTTGTTCTGCAGTGTGCCACATTAAAGCGCTGCTGGGGGCCTGCTGCAGGTTCTGGGTAAGGGGTCATCAGTGTGGGCTGGCATGGGTAACCCCTATCTCCCAGCAGAAAGCCATCAATCTCTCCTATAAGAAAGTTCACATCACTTTAGTGCTGCATAGAAGTGCTCCTGTAAGTGTGTAGTGCATGCATTGAAATAAGTGTATAGGGCATACATGTACTTACCACATTGCAGCCTGTTACTTAGGGTTGACTCACGATATATTCGTGAGTCATGAACAGAGCCGGGCCACTTGGCCTCCACGTTCGTGATAATATGTGAAGCATCACATATGATCTTGGCAGTGCAGAAAATGATACATGTCAGGTACAGTATTGTGATGTAGTCTTTGACCATTAGAAAGAGTAGTCAGTGTACCTGCACATTAATACTGTGGATGGACCTCCTGTTGACATAGTCCCCTTCATTTTCAGAAGGTGCATTGATGGGAATATGTGTTCCATCAATGCATCCAACCACATTTGGAAATCCTGAAGGGGATTCTAATTATTAGTTTATTTCCAGAGGTCACAGCAAGATGTTATTAACTGATCATCATTTTTCAGATTAGCCTTACTGAAACGAATTCAATACCACTAACCTGCAATCCTGTGAAACTCCTCTTTAATGGCTCTGAGGGGTTTGTGCCCAGGAAACACAACAAAAAATAACAGAAAGCGCTTGAGGGTGAGGCACACTTTCCGAACTATTCTACATACTGTGGCCTTACTAATGTGCTCTGCATCCCCGATGTTATAAAGAAAACTGCCGTTTGCAACAAAACGTAACGCAACACAAAGCATCTGCTCGGATGTAAGAGCACGGCCACGATGGGTGATGTGTCTGATGTATGGGTGGATAAGAGTATGGATATATGTTATGGACGCTCTAGAAAAACGGTACCGCTCAAATAAAAATACATGGGGATATGACAAAAAATCAACTCGTGGCCTCAAAATCCTCTCCCGAGGTAAATGCAATTCCCTGCGAATTAATACAGCGTCCTCATCTACAGGATCCTCTATGAATGGACACGCCATTTTGGTCTCTGCATGACGGAAACGTGTGCAATCTATGAATGCACTGAAGGATTAAATGAGGTATTAAACACCTTTCACTTTAAAAAGGGGCGGAGACCCGGAGGAAACTCTGAGTTTCCCGAACAAAACCTGCTCCCAACCAGGTTAGGTTCACAGAGTAAGTTGCCGTAGTAACTGACT